AGTCCCTGATTTCCAATCTGTTGAAAAAACATGCAAATGAATTTATAGAAGAGAGCATCCGCTTATTGACGTAACTTGGGCAGTTGCACCAAAGACTGCTGATGTCTGCACAGTGCAGTTTGAACTAGAGGGATGTTAGAAGACCAGTGTTGAGTCACTACATGTAGAAACTATCATCAGAAGCATTTCTATATTCTGATCATCAGTGCATTGTAGGTATATTGCAGTGGACCCATTTATAGTATTTGAAACTTATAAAAGCATGTCCGCTTCTACTGTGGATCCACATATATTTAGGTCATTGCAAAGAAAGCTCATCTGAGAGCTCAGGCTGATTAACAGCAATGAGTCCTCTTGAGAATTATTGTAATGGCGATGGAGAGAGAAAAATGAGAGGGAAAGGCAGAAATGAAAAGATACTGTGGAGCTAGTGGAATAAATGAATGAGAGAAGAGAAGGTGAAAAGAGAAGGAAGCGAGGGCAAAGATAGAGAATGAATATGATGATAGCGAGACACAACTGTCAGTAAGGTGGGAATGAGAGTGATGTAGGAATAGGGGTGGGGAGCAAGCACTGGGGCACTTGTGTCCCTCAGCCTCGGTTGTACCTATGCTGCTATGTTCCTTTCATGCATCATCCTGAGAGCAGCATGTCTGCTCTGGCCCCCTAGGAGATTAATTAGCGGCCTCAGCTAGAGGAGGAGCTGCTGAGAGGCACCCAACTCAACTCAGAAGATAAATTACCTTGGCTGAAAGCTCAAAGTTCAGCTATTTTACCACATACAAAACAGTCTGTTTGAGGACTTTGGAGGTCCAGGATTACGTCAGTATCTGGTGTAGTTGAGGGAGGAGTGAGACACGGAGTGGGGCCATCAATGTATTGTTCTCTCTTTTGTATAGCTATATTGGGCAGGGTGAGTTAGGTGGTGAACTCTTAGTAAAGTTTTGGATTTATTTAACACAATGAACCTGGGATTATATTAAATTCTCAAAAAGAATGGGATATTTCAGTTTAGAAGGTATAAATAGTGAGCTTCTTTCAGGATCAGGTTGATAAAAGTAGGACGCAAGAAGAATTATGCTAGAATACTCAGGGGAACAGGAAACTAGATGGTACTGACAATGTATTATACCACATACTCAGAATCCTCCCCACTGATTCCATCTTTTTCTGATTTTCTATATCACTGCAGGCAGCCTTGCCTGTTTTTGCCTATTAAGGTCCAATTTCCTGCATTTCCTGCACTGTTCACCTCCTCAGCCTTAATAGTCAGAGGCTGGTGCTGTGTTGTAAAGCTTGCTGTTGATTATGTTTCTGGGACACCATCGGGGCTCCGGAGGCCATTATGGGGTAAAATTACTGAAATGGATTATCAGGTATATGCTACTAGCTGTGTTATAAAACATGGTAAAAAGAATGTGCTTGATAATTCTGCAGTATTGTAAAGAAGACTGTCCTCCTATTCCTGTTCCATCCTGTAATTCATAAAGCAAAAAGAGAAAATAAATAGTTAATATGACTGAAAGAGCTTCCTTTACAATATGCATATTGGACAAAATGCAAAGAGAATCAGTATTGTTTTTACAAATGGAACTCAAATAATCCTGAACAATTCACATACAAGCATAGAGCGTCTATGCAGTGAATTAATAATTAATAATTAATGCAGGAAGTTAATTTTAAGTTAGGCTGAATGCTCACACAACAAATCCATTTCTGCATTACGATGCCAAAAAGCTGCTATAGATTGATTAAGTAAAAGAATCACTTTGTCCTGAGTAAACTGCATTACAAAAACTGCAGCACTAAAAAGAACACTACACTGTAAACTACACTACACACTGTTAAAGGTATCAGGAGATTTTTTACTATTGTTGACTACTAGTGCCATTGTTGCTATAGTTGTCTCTCTGTGGTTTGGTTACATTGTCGGTCTGCTTCGTGTGCAGCTGAGGAGAGCAAGTGAAACTGCTGTTTTTCTCTTCTACGTTGGTGAATTAAAGGATTTATTTCAAGTTTTCAAACCAGAGTTGGTGATTGTTGGAACAGTGGAAAGACTAACAAAGACGATTTGATGAGTTTTATTTTGTTTCAGTCCAGCTTTAAGTGTTTTTTCGGATTATCTGCTCGGTAAAATTACCATTTTCGTCCATAGAGCTGTTGTTTTGGTCTGTGATGCAAGTGGCAAGTGAATTTTGAGTATATCACATCTAAGGATGCACAAAATGTTAAGCACCTTTAAGGGGCAAACATCCACAGCCAATAATGATTCACAGTAAAACTGAAGTAAACATTTGACTAGCATTGTCAATGCTGTAAACCGCTGACAGCAGCTTCATCAGCATTCTTTTTACCACAGCTTCGCCTCTGAGAATATGTAACACAGATAGTGAATGCACTGGAATTAATAGGCAGCGAAAACAGGCCTCTTTTTCAGATGTCAATCAGAAGTAAGAAAAATGTGAAGAAATGCACAGATTAATGCATGGAGATGGATTTCTAATAAGCTTGCAAGATTTGAGTGTTACTATGCGGTTTTAGCTGAGTCAGGATCTGTAGCAGCAATTTGGGTCGGGGATACTGGGAATAATGCAGCTCTCTATTGAGTTTAAAACATAATGTACCAGGGACCACAAGACTGCTGACTGGTGGATGGGACAATTCACTATAATAAATCAACTTGATGTTTCAGCTGGCTCATGATGACCAGTGCAACACCAATAAAGCCTATAAAGGACAACATGCATTAGCTTAACATTATTTTATTCATTTATTTGCCTAAATATGTTCAAGCTAATATCAAAGCCAATGTAAACTCTCAAATAAAGTCAGCACTGTGAAACCTTTATGTTGCTCGGCGACCACATTGTTAGTCAAAAAAATATAAGATTCTTCCTTTATCACAGGTTGGTTATTGTGCTACCGCATTAAAAAGTCTCTTTCTTTGTGTATAATTAACCAAAGCCACAAGAACTCAATAATGTATCAGTCTCAGTGATGGTCTCCATTCTCCATCCAATAAACATGTCCTGGTGGTAACTTGCTGTTCTTGACAGCAAATGCTGTAACCTGCTGGATACTAGCAGGTGACTGTTCATACACTCTAAGCATTTATTTGGATGTAGTGATACGTTTGTATTTCCTGAAAACTCAAGTGTGTGCCACCGTGGAGGCGAGAGGACAAAACCAGCAGTTCCAGGAGGCTAGAGCTGCAGCCTGTGTACACACTACTCATGGTGGCCACCTGGGAGCACATCCATTCCATCTGACTAACCTGTGTTTGTCAAAGCCAGAGTCTGGCTGCGTGGCTGACCTGCCCATCCCCCACCAGCACTTGGCAGTGGACACAAACTGTCGAGCAACCTCTTAAAATCGACCACCCTTTGAATGCACCCTTTAGTCGGGCAATGAGCATCTCAGAATAACGCACAACAAAGTAGGGCAAAGGCAGCTTGGCAGTGTTTGTGCAGAACCAAATACAGATCTCAAATATTGAAAGGCAGATGTAGGCACGCTCTCACAAATTCCATCTGATGCACTTAGAAGCGCTGAGTGAAATATTAATAGCTGTAGGAGATTCAGGCTGCTTACTTTGTGCTGCGTCTGCATGGGGAAAGAGTGTGTGTAACTTTGTTCATGAGATTGTGTTAAACTGTTCAAATGGGAATCTTAAAATAAAAATCTGAGCAAATGTCAGTCGGTTTTTGTCTGTTCCTATAAGTAAACTCCAGAAGAGACATCTCATTCAGCAACATAACCATCATTAATACCCAACAAAACAAGACCTAGAGAACTGCTTCACAATGAATGAATGAATTACTGAACGGGGAGGATCTAACATTTCCTTTTGTCTTCCAGCGGTCGTATCTTAAATAATACCACAACACTGATTGTCATATTGATGTGATCATTTATTAGTAGAAATGATTAACCCCCAGAGATAAGACAGCAGCCCATGCCCCAGTCAAATCACGAGCCAGCGGGGCAGTGCAGTGCCACGTGAGCACACCGCCTTGCTTCTCTCTCTCGCTCATCTCACCTCACCATACATCCATATCTAAATCTAACTCTCTGTCCGCCTTGCAATCTAGCTACATCTGGACAGAGAGTGCTGATGGGTAGAAGTGATTATCAAGCACTTTAGGTTTGAATAGACCCAATAAATAGGTGCTGAATGCTTAGAGATGCATCGGAGAGATGCGGCCACCAAGGGGAAGTGGACAAATCAGCTGACCTTCACAAGAACAGACCAGACCCCAATCAGCCAGAGACATCACTGCACGCCATCTGCTAGGCTGTTTTTCACACTCTCTGGCATCAGCTAGGGCAGCTTAAACCTGCTCAAATGATTATTGAGCACTTTTGAAAAGAAAGTAGGATAGAAAAAAAAAGTAATAGCCCCATGTTTTGTAATAAAAATACATATTGCTGCATTCAGCCAACAACAAATAGTTTTGTAAACTGTCTATTTTCACATGTGCACACATTCTCACATGCACTCATAGAAACAAATACAAACAACTGCAGATGGCCACAGTGTTTTTCACAGAAATGCATCCCAGTCAAGAGAGCATCCGAAAAGGTGACAAAACGTGACCTGTAGCAAGCAGCTGAGGTCATCAATGTGGCAGGAATTGCAGAGCTGTTAAAGCTCTAACACATTTTCTAAACTGATCAATCATAAGTTATCAGCAATGCGCACGAAAACACTGCAGTGGGGTAATAAGAATGAAAATAAAAAAAAGGGAGGAAGAAAGAGAGAGAGAAAGGAATTACCAGGAGAGTTGTTACCTAGAAGAAAGAGAGAATTAAGTGAGAAAAAGTCATGCTGTTGTCTTCATCTCCAGAAAGTTCTAAGCCCTTCTAAATAAAAAGTGGGGAAAAGGAAGAACTGGAGAAGATAGCGATTAGAACATTCAGCATAGAAAACACACACGGACAGAACACAAGACAGATGCACATATGAACATACATACAAACTGTGCAGTTGGGTGTCCTACCTGTTTGGCTGAGCTGAGAGGTGCTCCGGCTCTTGCGTGACATGCCAACCATGGCCTGCATTTTGGCACCAATGCTGGAGCGCCTCTTCTTCTCGTCAGTGCCTACCGTGCCGACCGCCGTGTCTGACTGGCTGCCGTCCGTCTTCTCCAGGTTACACATGTCGCCGCTGATGCTTGTGCTCTTGGTCATGTTTAGTCCACCCGACGAGCCCATTTGCCTGTTTTTCATTTTGGATGCAAAGTCACTGTCAGCCACCACCATTGACAGGGGGGCAGGCGAGGACAGAGAAGAGAGGACAGGGCAGAGGAGAGAGGAGGCCAGCGGAGAGGATGTGAAAGGAGAGATGATGATGAAAGAGGAGACAGGAGGAGAGCATAGAAGAGGCAAGAGGAGAGGACAGGAGAGGGACAGGAGAGGGACAGGAAAGGGACAGGAGATGAGAAGGTGTGGGGTGAAAAGGAGAGAAGGACAGAGTTCAGGTACAGGAGTTCATGACTTACAGTATAGCTGAGTTGAGGGTTTAAAGTGGATGTACTGTATATTCTAAAAGATCGATGCAGTGAAAGATCAACTATTATATACTCTGCTGTAGCTCCTTAAATTGTTGTGCACTGACTAAAGTTTTTTGAGTATTATATTCTATCAAACACAAAATTTGATTTGTTTGGTCTTGATATTTTAGGTAGTATTATTGTAGTACCAGATCAGTAAACAACATTCCAACTCTGTCGTGTGGACTGTCGTGTAGCATTCGCTTGAAATTTCATAACCTGCATGTTTACAAGCTATACGTTGTCTTCACTACTGCTTTTTCTGGCACATTGCTGCATTTCTTGTCCTGTTACTGCTACCTGTATATCAGTGGAATACTGTGAAACCACTGGCACTGACACTGACTGTGTATCGTGTGCAAGTGCACAAGAACAAACAAGACAGGGACCCACATGTAAAAACATTGCTTCATAGTGCCCCTCGTGTTCAAAAACTCCACAAAGTACCTTTAACTTTCAATCTCAGGTTTTAAGACAACATGAACAACGGGTCCTTAAAATTCTCAGAAAAGTGGAAATATGAACATCTACAATGCTACAACAACTGGGCAAACTTCTGTGCCTCCTTTCTCCTCTGTGTGGTATGATTGAAAGCTCCAGAACAGATAGTAATGGACCGAGTTGTGATTGTTTTGCCACATACTGTTTTTTTAAATTTTTAAATTTTAAAGTTTAAATAGTTTTTGAAAAGTTTTGACTTATAATAAGATAATAGATTTTGTATTCATTTCTTTATTAATTAGTCCAAGTTTAAGTTCATGCTATTTAACATCTAGCTCTCTCTTGCTCGTTTTAATGTAGACCTGGAGACAGAAAGTTACAACTTTTCTGGACAGTTGTGACCACACATTCAGTACTTTTACACTAAACTGCATACAAAAGTAAGAGTTGTCTGTCATCAGCATTATTTTCCAGCTCTTCCCGTTTGAAAGGAAATAGGCCACTGTCCAAATTAGGGTCTTATTTTAGCTCTGCTAGTAAAATTATCTTTAAGAGACAAATTACATTCTGTATCATAGGCTCTGCATTCTTAATAGGATGAGTTACGTGTAGCGCCCTCCAGGCTACTATTCATTAATTAAAGTGCCTGACCTCCATCATGTAACTGTCTTATAAAGAAAACTTATGGAGAGACACGCTGACTAAAATGGGAGAAGAATCAATGCATTTCGACAATTGACTCCATCAATTACTTCAGTTAAGCTCCTTCAAATTCTGCTCTTTGCTATATTAGACATTAGTGTTCAGCTCAGTTGCATTAGAATTAAGAAAATTATTGCATATAATCAAGATTACATCAGACATGGTTATAGGATTTCAAGTGCAGGCAACAATATTGCATTACCTTGACATTGGAGATAAGTGATGCTTTTAATTTAAATGTAAACCCTTGCTAGAGCTCCAGCAATCTGCCCAAGTCTACCAGGCACTCATATTCTGGTCCCTGTGTTTTCAAGCCTTATGCTGCCAGAGAAAGCGAGAGCGGTTTGTATATTCCAGCAGTTAGATAAATAAAATTAATAAATAATATTTGCAACATTATATTTCATGAGCGTATGATGATGAACTCATATTGATCTTCTTCACTACCGACAAGAACAATACTAACTGTTACATTTGAATTCTAAAAATAAAGCCCCTTTCCTAAACACTAGGTTTTAGTTGCTTATACATCTTTTTTTGGGTGCCAGCTGGTGGTGAAATAAGTCAGATGTGCTCTAAAAGAATGCACACACGTTGTACCTCAGCCTGCAGTATAAAGCCTTTTGTTTATGCCAGTTCTAATGCCAGCGGGTTCTGTTATGGATCAGCCTGTACTTTAATACATAAATATTGAATGCTTATTGGGGGATTAGTGCCTTTGATCAGTTAATATAGCCGAGAAGCTTTGAAGCAGACTTCAAGCGCCTGGGCTCCTGACAACACCACGGACCGATGTGGTACAGGTGACATTCTAAAATATGCTCTTTCACTATCATCATAGTGAGGCTGCATTTCATGTGGTCAACACCGAGCGATAATGCTGCCTCTATTATGCCTCTATGATATTATTAAATATCAGCACAGTGGCAAGGTCGGGGGCATTTGCCTCTACAAATTATTGCCCACTGAGGTTAAAATGAACAAGCACAGAAACACATGAGCACAGACCCTTTCAAACCGAAATTCATATTGCCCGATTCATTTTTTAAAATTCTAAATAATTAAAAATATGAGGCAATGTATTCATCTACTGGGACAAATGTTCTTCTAGTCTAAATGGACACACTGTACTGGTCAACATGTTTATATCTACTGTTGAACAATCCATAATCTGTGTCCAGGAAGCAGTCCAATAATAAAGTGTTAATTTGTCTAGCATGCGCTGCATCTCAACTGACGAACATCCTGTTGGTTCACATAACATAACTGTGTAAAATAAATGTATACCAGTATCTACTCACTGTTCCTCTAGCCCCTTCTCTCATTACTGTATCTCTACTCACTGAACAGGTCTTGGCACTCAGACACTGTGTAAATGTGCCTGCTTGGAAAACTGGGACTCTCCGGGGATTTCTGATTTTCAACCTCAGCCCAAAGAACATAGTGTTCTTCATCATGCAGATTGTTCACTTTGCATTTTCATCTAGGCCAAGATGTTCCCAAGGCAAAACAAAACCGGAATTTTCTTTTGTCTTGCGCAAGTGTTGACACCACCTGTCTTTAAATGAGGTAATTTAGGTAACAATAACATACAACCAGTAGATAAAAAGGTACGGTATCTCTGACTTGCTGACCATTTAAAATCATCAGCAAACCATAAGTCAATTGATTTTTTGCAAGACTTTACCTACATATAAAAAAGATTTATATCAGCACATTACATTATGTGTGCTACAAATACTGCTATAGGCTTGAAAAGCAACTTTCTTTTACCCAACTTGGAAGAAACAGATCATGGATGCTGTATATACGCAAAGTGCATCCTGTCCTCCCACACTTATCCCCTTATCTTGTTCGCCTTTCACCGAGAGGATCACTGCTTCTTTATCAGGTGAGGCAGAAAAACGTGTTTCCATAGCAACTGTGCCCCCGGCCAGAGCATTAGCATGCATACACACCTGTCAACATAGCTCCAAAGGTTTTTGTCAGAGATTGAAGTGATTAATTAAAGTCTGAAACTCATATTGAAACAGTATCATCAGCCGTAAAGGTAGATCACTAGACAAGCTGTGGGAGGGGAGGACCAAGGGGTTTAATGAAACATCCCTTCCTTTCTTTCAGTAATGACAGTCTTTACTTTCCCTCGCATGATTGAGTCATTACCCAGGCAGCAATATTGGATGAAAGAGACATGGAGGAGAAGAGGTGATGTGGGATTTAAAAGTGCTGATGGAAAGCTTCTTACGGTACATCCTGAAGACCACTGGACACAACGTCAGCTTAGAGCCGCATGTGTGCATTTGCCTCTTTGTGCAGTGAAAGCGCTCATGGTCTAAAAAACACATGGCTATCATGATGTTTGTATGCCAGGCCAATGAGAACAGGTTTAATGTGTAGCAGATGTATATTTACTCTGTGACCTCAATACATAGGAGATGAGTCATAAGTAAATGTGGCTAGCAGTGATGTTTCTGCCGAATCACACTGCTTCCTGGCTTTTATACATAGATAAGCAGAGCAGTGAATAAACCTTTTATCACTTGAGGCAGGTAGCATAATATCCCTTACGTTTCCTGACTACACAAATGATCTGTAGACACAGTTCTGATTATTTTCAGTATCTACAGTATCGATCTTGAGGCTCTCACTGTAAGGCTCAGTGCTTCGCTCACTGTTTAGGCTCAATGTCCAGGCTGATGCAAATGTCGTCACTGGCAGAGCTTACATAACAACACATGGAAAATAGGTCCTTTTTCTTATCCCAGTGAATACTGAAGTAATCATACTGCTAAGTTTATGAAAAAAACATATGTGACTGAAATGTGTGGCTTCGATAGCCAGTGCCACACATACTGTACTTATTCTAAAGTGTGTTTTGATTCATAAATTAGAACATGACACTGAGCAGCTGCAGCATCGGTCAGTGAAATATAAAGAATTATCTGTTCCTCTGTCTGAGTTTAAAGTGAATACATACAGTACTTGAAGGAATGCTTAGCTGATGCAACCAAACAAAGGGTTCACATAATGTTTTAATAAAGAGAACGCCTGGATTAGTTTATTCTACTGTTTTATCTTTCTTATTTAAATCAAGCAATGACTTGGGCAGCAGAGGTAGAAAATCACTGAGCATCTTGGAGATATCCTCTATGAGTGCATACTATATTCTATCTATATTTCTATTCAGAACTCATGAGCCTCTGTGCCAAAGGTGTAAACAGAGCATGCTAGAATTTCCTGACACAATGTGATTCACAAAAAGCATCACACACAGTGCAGGGGAACCCGAAAATAGGTGCTCAGGCTTAACAAAATGTGCCCTGAGCTCTGATTGTATGGTGTAAACCACTGTAATATAAAAACGTTTGAAAATGACTACTCCTCTTAACATTTACTGCTGCTTAGCAATACTTTATTATTTGGTAGAAGAAGTACATTCAGCTATTATTACGGTATAAATACCTTGACTAAAATTAGGATTATTGTGGAGTCTTTGATTGATTTGGAGCTAATTATTTTGTAAACATGAACATTTTCACTAAACTTGAATGATGTTTCTGAGAATCTCTTCTCGTGTTGTTGTCCCAGAAAAGCAGAATGTGCAATGGCTCACATGGTGAAACAGTATGTATATTATAGATTTATACTGTAGCTGTCATGAAGGAATTGGGGTTGATCACACAGATAAGAGTTGTCAGCATGTTAAAAGCAGGACTAATCCAGCTCACTTTCAGTCAAGGAGGAGGATGTTGCTTGAAATGAGAATATTTTGGCTGAATTCAAATGTGTCTTCAGAATGTATTTGCTGAGGCAGGTTTTTTACTCACATTAATTATAGTTTCCAGTGACTTAACTGAAAGTGAACTGATCGCTGGTTGATAGTGTAGGTATGAGGGTTGTGGTGTTACACAGAGAAAAATGGCATGTTGAGGAGTAGCTGGAGGAATTTGGGAGGTTTGTGTTGACAAGTTGCAAAGTGCAGTGTGACACTGTAGGACTGAGACAGCATGTGACAGGCAGAGAGACAAAATACTGACACAACACCCCAGCAGCACAGACAAACAGTAAAGCCACACAGATTGCAGCCTCAATAGACAAAACTGCACTGTCTCAGGATTTATTTTTAGATCTTGCTAGCATTAATCTGGAAGTAGAACTGTGTAGATACTATACCTGTATACCTTTATGTGGATTTGCTCATGTTTCTGCCATGTGCAGTGGTGTGTGTTTTCTTAATCAGGCAGTACACACTGGTGCAGTGTTAATCACACATAAGAGGGTACAGCTTTTATCTTAATGTGTTTTCTCTCAAGTCCTAGCAGACACTGTGGCAGTATTAACGTTAGTAATAAGCACTAACTTGGATCCTGCTGTGAATGTGATTTGATAGAGAAGACATCTTATTAGAAGGGTAAGCTAAGCTTTTATCCTGCTACGGGATTCCAAATCAATTTGTTCTTGAATTTGCTCTTGACATACTTTTTAAACTAGCCCTACACTCTTCAGAAATTAAACTATACTCTCTTGGGCCACAATAAAATAGTTTTTCATGCATGCATTATCCTATTTATTTTTCTTCCTGATGCAACTATATACACATAAGTCCATCTCTGCATACACATGTACATATATACTGTACATACCCACTTAGGGCTCTGTGCTGTGCTCCTGCAGAAGGTATCTTAAAATCTCAGCAAATGAAACTGAACCTGTCTGCATGGCTACATAAAAAAGTTGTTTTTTTTTCTTTGTGATTTGCTTCATCTTAAATTATTGCTGAACTGTTTCTATGTGCATCTTATCTGCTTCTTAAGTGTGAACAGGTTGCATGGGTTTCTAACTACAATTATCAGGTAGTAATGCTACTCTACTTTAGTATTGTTAAGAGCTAACAGAGCCATAGCTACATAATTATCAAGATTAAAGGATGGAGGATAGTCACCACACTGCTTTGCACATCGTCTTATAAACGTGCAAAAGTCAGTGTTGCAACTGGGAGATACAGGTCTTTATTATTGTTAGTAGGAGTCTACAGTTAGAGGCTGCCACACACGTGTTACCTGAGGTCAGTCTCTGAGATACTCCTTTGGTGCAAGTCCTCTTCTTTCTCCACCAAATCCTCCTGATGCTCCTTGTCTGTGTCTACCTTCCCCCCCGATCCCTTCCTTCCTCCCTGCGATCTCCCCTCTTTACTGAACCTTCTCCCTTTTTCTCCTCCTCCCCCACCTGCCTCCTCCTCCTCTAGCACTTCTCCTAACTGCTCATCCCCCTCCCGAGACTGGCTCCTTGATCGCAACTGGCTGAAGACGGAGACAGAAGCAAGAGAGCAGCACATGCAAAGCAGAAAGAAAATCAAACAAAGCATGAATATTGTCAACAACGAGAGAAAGAAAGACAAACACAGAGAGACACAGTGCAGCCAAGATCAAAAGCAGACTGATTCAAAATAACAGAAAACAGAGATGTAGACTTACAGCAAAGCGCCATGCAAATGAATTTGTTTTTTGCTTTGATATGAGACAACACCCAAAGAGATGCAATGTGTTTTATGTTTCAATGTGTGTTGCCAGATATGGACAAACTTTCCCCACAGCTTGAATGAGCAGAGTTCAATCATTTGGTTCCAGATTTTTCTAAAACAGAGCCAAACTTGAACTCATCACAGTGAGAAAATGACACACAGGGCTGGGGGGTGTATTTTCCTCTTTAAATGTAACCACGTGTAAACACTTTCAAAGCTGAAAACGTCTGGACGTGGCAACGTATATGAAAAGACAAGTTCACAGCTGAGGGGGATTTGTCCATTCCTGATAACAGCTCAATGAGTTTAAAGAGTGGGAAAAAAGTTCACTGTGCCCTGGTGTGAACATCAGCCTACCGGATCTTGCGGTTTCCTTGCGGCCTTTCTGATTGGACAGACATGTAGCTCGTGCTGCTGAACCGAGAGGCACTACTGGTTCTCGACACAGCGGACACGTCGCTTACATCACTGTCAGATGACTTGGCTGACAGGTTATCTGAGCCCCGTGGATCTCTGCCTGAACGCTGCAGAGAGGACAGAAACAATACAAACAAAAAAGCTTATTATTATTAGGATGTCAACAAGTCCTTCTGGCAAGCACAAGTTCATGCTCTTTTCAAATGTTTAGTGCTTATTCATACTGTATTTGTAAAGTAAACTTTAATAAGCGATGAAAGGGTATGAACTTTAAGCGTAAACAAAACACTGCTCGCATGCCTTTAGCTTTTTAAGGACTACCAGTCTTGATCAAGATAAGTTCCGTGGCAGAAGTGGGCTGATTAACGTGAATAATGTAGACTTATTACTTTAGCTCTCGGAGGAGAGAAGAAGAGTAGGGATGATGTTGTTACATAAGGTGTATTAGGTGTGCCTTTTGAAAGGTCAGAATGTACTTCAGTCAAATAGATCAAAGAGAGTAGCAGAAAAATATAAGGCTGAGGGTTGAATCTTGCAGGTTTTCACAATATGGGATACTTAGAGCATTTAGAAAAGATTTCACCTCCTCTGTCATCATCAATCAATTTGTGATTAGCGCTGCTGATAAGGATGTTTGTTTTCTGCTCTGGATTTTTTTTATGTGAGGCAGTTTAAGTAAACACAGCTTCATTTATGAATGTGAACCTGAGAGCACTAAAATTTGAAAATGACACAGGAAAAACTATAACTAGATTTTGACACAGGAGCCCTCCATACAGCAGGGCCACAGAGATCAGGTAATAATACAGCTTGCTCTTTAGTTGATAACTTATTTTAATGGTGCAAATACAACCAATGGACAAACAATTAACCATGGGGGCTTAGGAGTTGTCCTCTTTTATTAATCCAGCCTTAATAAAAAGAATATATTATGTCAAGTAGTTTAAAGTAGAAATTCATTTTTACTGATAATATTTATGTAATTTTATTTAGGTAAAATTTTAGAGTTTGATATTTATCGCCTTGGAACTTTTTTTTATAACTTAAAGGTCCAGTGTGTATAATTTAGTGGAATCTAACATCCGCAGATTGGAACCCACTGAGTACCACTCGCCTCACTCCCCCTTCCAAGCGTGTAGGAGAAACTATGCTGGCTGCAAAAAAGGATCAACAAAAAAAAACATGGCTGACTCCATGGAAGTCTGTATGCCGATAAAAACGGCCAATTCTAAGGTAATGAAAACACAATGATTCTTATTTTCAGGTGATTATACACTAGAAATAGAACTACAATAGAAACATACTTATTAATATTTAATTCCATTTCTGCCAATAGATCCTCCTAAATGTTACACACTGGACCTTTAAACAAAGGATCTGAGTGCTTGCACCTCTGGCTAGGACTGTATCGTGTAAAAGCCAGTGACATTTATTTGGCAGAGTTGTACTAAAGTAGCTTTACACCGAAGCTTCCTTGGAGGATCAACTCGGATGACAATCTTGGCGCCACCCTGGTTCAAGGCAATGTGTAAAACTGAATGTGTATATAATATCCTGTGTGTATTTTTTTGTGGTGTGTTTACTGTAGGATAACCTGAACTGAGTGTTACAGTTATTGTTTTGTATTACACTGTGGTTTAAGAGCAAGAGTTGAGAAGTCTTATTTAATAATATTGAGAGCACTGTTTTTGTCAATGGCACTTCCAAGGAGGATAATGTTCAACAGACAAGGACAACTTACAATTTAATCTGCTTTTTATAGACTTCTAGCAAATAAATTGGCTGTTCCTAAGGCAATCATTTTTATACCACAGACTTAAAAGGAAAGCTGGACAGAGAGCCTTTGTCTTGTACGGCTTGGCCCAGACTGCAGCGAGACACCAGGCTCAGGCTGCGCTCTCTAAACATGTTCAGGACCTCTCCAGAACAAAGTAGTAAACAGACTCTGCACACACTCACTGTCACATTCCTTGAATTACAAGACAGCAAAAGGCTTAAAGGCTCAGTTCATCTAAATGACAGAGAGAAAACACATTCCCTTGCTTACTTATTCTTGTATCTAACCTTCTAGCCAGATCATTTTGGTTTTATGTGCTAAGATTAGGAGATATCTAATTTAGTTTGTATGGCTCAAAGCATTGAGGAATGACATTTGAACAGCAGGACAGATGTGTGTCCCAGTTACTCAAGATAGTCCACAGACCCTGCTGTGAACATAATTTATCATTATTATTATTTCCTATCCTCAGTTACAAATATTTCCCAACAAAAACTGTTGAAAGTGAGGTCTGGTGATTATCCTGAGTTAGTCAGACATTGTTTCTAGGAAGACATGCTGGTACTGCGTTGTATTTCATTAATGAAATGTCAAAACAAAACTATCTGCATGGCTCAATTCCACTAGGAGTAAGTAAAGATACATACATGTTTAGCTGTTTTGATTTGGGTGAACTGACCGTTTGAACTGAGAACCTGTATTGGTATGTTTGTGTGACTTTGTCTGTGTTATATACAGTATGTACACTATGCACTATCAATGCACATGTGCAGTATGATGTTGATATGTGCATGTGTACATGCTTGACTGCTTGCAAAGTGTGCCATATGGCCTATGCACCATGCAAACAGTACACTGTAGGGACATGTTTTGTTCGGTGAATCTGGAGTAGCGAAGCATAAATCCAGCTATGTGGATGGGTTTTTACCTTGTGGTAGTCCTGCTCCAGCCTGGAGTCAGAGCCTGCTCCCTGCTTGTACTTGTTCATATTCAATTTCATCTGCCTGGTCCTCTCTTCCATGTCCATACCTAAGCAAAGAAACAAGAGGCTGTCAGATAGGGGCTGATGCAGTGAGGAAAGCCTGATGCAGAGACATACTGTTGTGGTGAGAGACAAGCTTCTGCTGAGCTATGAGCCATGAGCTATGACAAGGACAGATCTAATGGAAAAAAGCTGAATGGTTGGCTGTATTACAAAACAAAAACACAAACAGAGAAAATACTGACTGGTAAAAGTAAGCTGCATAACATATTAAACAGCGTGTCACAATTCCAGGCTCATTTAACTGTATAATAATAATTGAAGAGCACATTGTATAGAAGCTTTGGACACTTATACTTCAATAAACACATATACAACCTCCAACACTGCTTGTGACCCATGTTGGGACACATTTTACACAAGATTCTAGATGAATTCTAATCCTCTGACAGCAAATGAAATTCCTTTGTGATCCAACTAATTGGCCAACGCAATCCCTCTCAGCTCAAAGTGAAAGGCTTGCAAAATCCCCCCCCCCCTTCAGTACAAATCTTCATCTCCTCCTGACTTCAATTTAAGCACTGTACTTAGTTTCATATTGCTGCAAGTGCAATTTGCAATATACAAACATCACACCAGAATCAATACACAAGCTTAATATTGTTCTGTGGAGGTAATAAAGGCACTGCATAAGAACTAAAACAAATTTATGTAACTAAAAAGAAAATAAAACACTCAAAATATTACCTCACAACAATTTATTTTATGCTGAAACTGCTACATGTGTTTTTTTTTCTGTAAATACAATTTTCAATCGCCACCAAATTATAACTTTCCTGCTGTACCTGCATCTCCATTCTCTCCACTTGCTCTCTGTCTCTTCTTTTGTGTCAAATGGTAGCAGTGATAAAGTGAAGGTGAATGCACACGTACAAGTGCCATGCGCACATACAGTATGCCTATAGCTTCACATACACACACACACACACACACACATACACACACATAAATACAAAGAAAAAGCATTATAAGCTGAGAGCAAATGAATGACTGCATATGTGATGCAAAGTGATTTTTTCTCATTACAATAGAGTCTATTCTCTGCCTCTCCTGGTTAATTGTTTACCGTTACTTCACTGCTTAAGTTAAATCTCACAGCCTACACATGTCCACATCTTTAGTTGTCTCGAAATTACAGGGAAAGTTTAATTTAATCTAAAAAGCATTCAGATAACTACTTGTTATGTCACGCCATATCAGCTATTGTCAACATCTGTTTGCCTAAAAACTTAAAATTTTGTTGATTAACTACTGTGGTTATGCTGATTTTAAAGTTACAGTGCAGTCAGAAAGTGTTGGACAGTGACGGTTAAGTGGATTTAAAATGAAACAATGAAAGTTAGAAAAGTCAGAAAGTAATGAATCTTGCCCAGTCAATCTTTATAAGTTGAACAAGTTAAATTAATAGCTTGACATTTTGGGAAATGCGCTAATTCTTTTTTACCAATCTCACCTCTGTACATTAAATATGTAACTGGAGTTAGCAGCCGGTCAGCTCAGCTTAACAAGCACCTGTAAACCTCACTAATTAACATGTTATATTTTTTTGTTTCTTTATATTTTGGCCACCACAGAGACTTCCTGGAATCTTGGCTGACCTCATAGTGACGACAAGTCTCCAAGAAGAGCCTTTAAACTGGGAGGCTGTATAAAACTGCCTATGTGTCCTGACTGTCAGCTAATTTGCTGAAGTTAACCCAGATCATGAAAAACACATTCATTATTGTATCATTTTATTGTATAGTTTTTTCTTGGTAGAACATAACAGTGTCTCATGTTAAGACTCGCTTCAGTGGCATGACCATGACCATGCTTCTATAAACTGCAAGCATACACACTGTCAAAATAAAAGAGTGCGAAATGACAAAAAAGCTGGAAGCGTTGTCTACAGAACAAGTAAGAGTGCAAACAACACAAGTGGATGGAGGCGAGTGAAGCGGGAAAAGAAAAGACATTTCAGATGAGGGGAGGTGGGTTGGGGAGGGCAAGCCAGGAAGATGTACAGAGTGAATAAAAGTAGGAGGAAGAAGAAGAAGGCTGAGTCAAAGAAGAAAGACGGTGAAAGTAGAAGAAGGGACAGACCTGAGTTCGTCCAACTTGGTGAGTCCGTGTCTTCTGGGATCACATCACAGAATGGACAGACACAGACAGAGGAGAGGAAGATGGATGTGAGAGGATGCACGAAGGGTAAAGGGGGGCAGACGGAGAAGAAAAGGAAGGAAGGAGGGGGGGCGACTCCATCGCCGTGATCGCCGAGTATGCCAGGTTTGGAGGGTCAGAGTGAGGAGGAAGAGGATGGAGGGAGGGAGGGACACGACACGACACGACAACAGTACGACACGACAATGACAAAACAACAAGCACAGAAACACACACACAAAATCATAGAGTACACCAAGAACACACAAACTCCACCATGGGCACAGTGAGAAGTCAAAACAGAGCAAGAGGGTGCGAGGCCGGGAGAGGCTGAGGTAGAGGCTAAGAGTTTAGTTATTAAAAATAAGAAAAGGGGGGAAAGGTTGGGGAGATGAGGATCTGTGCTTTAAAGGAAAAAGAGCTGAAACAGTAAAGAGATGTTAATGTCCCGGACCAGATAGAAACTCGAGACCTCTGAAGAAAGGCAGGGAGAGGGGGGGAAAGGAAAGGAGGGTAAAAGGAGAAGTGGATCTCACTTGAGTCTGCATGGGGCAACTGTGGGGAGACAGCCTAGAAAAATAACATAAAAAAAAGGAAAAGAAACACAAAACAACACAAACTGAAAGAGCACAGAGCAGCGAGCACACAAAAGAGAGAGCCGACTACCTCACAAAGTTCCAGCGAAAAACGTGAAAATTGACAAGAATATCAGCAAAACCTGAGTAGAGGGCAAAAGTGCACATTTAAATGCACGTACACACACACACACATCACATCAGCTACAGTATCTTTCTGAAAGAGGGTTATGCAACAACACGATTGAATGCTTGCTTTCAAGCATCTCTTTTTCTTCCGATTACATATCTTCTCCCCCTCTTTGTATTATTCACGTCCGTCTTTCCTTCCGCTCAGCCCGCTGAGACCCTGAAATATTCTGAGGAGGATTTTGTTTACTTTTCTATTTCTCTCCAAAGCTTTTCATGACTCTATCTGCAATCAGGACACTTCCATGTGTGTTTTGATCCTGTGTAAGCAACCCCTCATGGACCCCCAGGACCTCAGATCGTGGGTTCAACATCGGGGTCAGTGTGTAATCAACATCCTCACAGCAAGGCTGCCCCCTCTGTCCACCATAATGTTCTCCAACCCTCCTGTCTAATCTCCGTCCTGGAGTCTGAACCTGACAAAACCAACAGTGACAGCCCGGAGGGCAAAAGAAGCCCACTCCGATCTGACTTAATTTTCATAGCCCCTTACACAGAATTTGCATTTAGCTCAATTAGTACTCCATTAGGGTGAATAATGGAGTGTCATATGAATAAAAAGACAATGTGAGACATCTGCCTCACAAGCTTTCATCTCTTTGTGGCAGCTAACATCATCTCATTAGAGAGTCAAATGATAATCAAGAGAGCAAGTGATTTTTTTCTCTCCTTACTTCAGTTGCATCATGTAGGTCATCAGGATAAGAGAGTGATATATTAAGACAGAGATGGGAGTGAAAAACTAGAACAAGTCAGTGTGGAAAAGCCTGTGGTCTGTGGGTTAATACTGTTTGGTATTAACATTTTATATTTAACCCAACAGTCTCTGAATGACAACTTATTCCCAGCAGCAGATACAACAGCAAAATCATCAAATGTGTAACAATTTTTACAAATGGTGATTCATAAACAAGATAGAGTTGGTAAGATAACAAGAAGATGTACCCTAAAAGTTGGTCACTCTATGGAAGTGACTCATGATTCTAAATTCTAAAAAAACATGCTTTCTCTAAGTACCTGGCTAACTTAAATATATCTTATGTGAACAGTCAAAGCAGTCTTTGTGCAGAAAAACACTTTTCTATCTGCCTTTATCTTAATAAAATAAATTAATCAGTAGTTGCTAGTATATAGGACAATAGACAACCAAATGGAGCTCATTGTCCATATCATTGAGATGGCACATTCAACAAAAAAAAATTATGAAACTACCATTGTTAAATTATGTGCAGTCATTTTCAGTTCCACATAAAGAGTTTTAATAATTTTGATCCTCAATGTTTATGCAGGTAAATACAATGTAGGTAATTAATTTCCTCCTTGGAAGCAAGTTAATTGCTTCCACTTGGTTTGCTAACTGATATACACTACACTAGTACATGACACAGTCTATCTACCCCTGTTTATCTAAGAAAATATTCAAAAACTGAATTTAAGGAGTGACAGAGGCTAAAAAACAAATAGGACATGGGAGGGAGAAGAAACTGACTGATGACCACGCTCGCTGTTGGTTCATTACTGCTTGAATCGCAGGCCATGGAAGGCAGAGGCTTTACGGCCATGTCTGATCCACTGAGCCTTGTTAGCCTACAACACCAGACTGCACATTACATGCAGCTCCCCAGCAACGCATTTTTCAGTGAAAAACTGCTTTTAAGGCCACTGTGTCACACTGTAACAAAATACATCTAAAATAACACATAGAATCTTAAGATGCTCATAATATCAGTAGTTGTGCTGTTTTTCTTCTGGGATGTTTAAAATCTAACAATGTTACTGTTAAAAATGATTTGCACAGCAGATCAGATCCTGTGGGTAGAATGAGCAAGTGACATAATGGGTAAACATAAATGAGGATTAATTCAAAGGAAGGCGAAGATGTGTTTCCATGGAAGCACATAAACCTGTACAGCAAACACAGCACCTTAAGACACTGGTGGTGTCATTACCTTAGCAACACATTTCCTCTTTTCCCGCAATACATCTACGGATGATAGTATCTCATCAGAATTAACTTCATTACATTTATTAAAAGTATGACACTCTGCCAACACACTTTTATATAATTAAAAATATGCATGTTTTGTTTAGGGTAATGAAATGTGCCTTAATCAATTTTCAGAGATCAGAGTGTCTACAAAAACATCAGCTTCATGCTGCACTGCAAAACCACACCGAGGAGAGAGAGAAAGAAAAACAAAAGGCTGCCATCCAGAGGCCGACCTGGGCAACTGCATCTTAATCATAATTTGCTGGCCTATACAAAATATACAAAGTGAGTTCTCCTTGTTATTATATCTTCCTTCTCTTTTCTTTTTCTTCTTTTTTCTAACACACAGCTACTACTGTACATTGTCCAGGTCTGGCTTTAGAGAGGCTGTAATCCAGCTGGTGAGTCCACACAAATTGTGAAGGTCAGCATGGAAAAAGGACGGATCACTTTGGTAGAATATTGTTTTTTAATATATTAATATTGTTGACTGTGAAGGTGCATACCTTTACATGAGTCCATGAATAAGAAACAACTATATTTTATTGCTCTACAGGAAATGCAGTAGATATGGAAAATTTCACTCTTACATTTAATAAAGCTGTTTGCCAATAGCTTTTTTAAATTTGTCTCAATTCTTATGACCGTTAGCTCTAAGAACCTTTCTTGCTATTGTTTAAGCTATGACGAGGCTGTGTAGACAGGTCATAGCATACCATACCCTGTTTTTTTGTGACTGTACTGTCAGGACTCTTAAATGATTTGGACTCATATGATCGATTAAGAAAAAAGCATAATACTCTATCAAAGTGAAATATGGCTTTTAAAGTGTCAGAAATCCACACCCAGACCAACCAACCTGTGTCAGGGAGGGAGGGGTGTGGCTGTGTCCCTCCATCAGACAAAGAGCCATTCAGCCCTCGCTGCTGGTCCTCCCATGTCACTTCTACAGCAAGACACACACACACTGGTTTGCATGCTAAAGGGATCTTAGGGACCATGGATTATCAGGGTCATGTTTTATATGATCCTGCACAAATGTGCTAAAAATAATCATTTTTTAATCTCAGTACCTTTTAATACGCAGTGTACACATTGAAAGCAGAATGTATATATTTTGCAGTGATAACAGAGAGTAGTGGTAAGGACTAGGAAGGAAGGAAAAGACCACTTTGTCACTTCAGCACTGATATCACGGACAGCTCCTCATCACAGATAATGAACTTTGCTCCATCTGCTGGCCAACAGAGGTAACAGTCTCTAAGGTTCTAAAAACCAAGAGATTATACTCTGCAGTACAACAAAGGGAAATACACAGAATTCAGAAAATACTACACCTAATTATTATTTGTTAAGATGCAATAATAATTATAATAAAAAATAATAATAATAATCTTGATGTTTTATGACATAAAATGGCAAAGAACTGCCCTGAACATGGGTTATGTATGGCTGAAACTACCAGTCTTAAGGGAGTACTGTACAATGTGTGTGTGTGTGTGTGTGTGTGTGTGTGTGTGCGTGTATGATATATAATCCATGTCTAATTAAAATGATTGGCGATTTCACAATGGAAATGAAGAGCTTTGTCTTTGTGGGGTTGAGCTAAGCAGCATGAACTTATATCAAAGTAGAGGGCAAATTAGGGCCACAGTGGAGCCAGGGAAGGACAGACCAGCAGAGATCACAACGACAGCACTCTGTACATATTAACATCAGCTTCGGCTACATACAACTCTCTAACTTAAGAACTTCAAAATAACTCAATAGTAATAAACCACATTCAGTCTATATAAGAGATAAAACGTGGATAGAGGCGGGTATGAATAAAGCTACAGCAAATAAGAAGGAACAGTCACTAAGAGTAGCAAAGTACTGAGAATCTCAGATGCTAGTGAATGTCACACATGAAGAACTGGTGTTGACCGAGAAAGCCCACACAGCAAAGTCACACCACCACACTATTCAAAGGACTTGCCTTTCCTCCCATTTACCGGTGGGCCTTGGGGTTTTTCCTCACAGTCTGCTGCTAGTAGAGAGACAGGTGGAAGCCCATGAAATGATGGAGCTCTAAAACCATATATTGGTACTGTACGTCGTGTTAATATGGCAACTCATACTTACTGTATGAGCTCAAACACAGACTCACATACACCCACAGATCCACTCGCAAACACGCTGCTATCCTAAGATACAATTATTTTGCATATAAAAGCCACTACACAAAAATGCTATGAACGTTTGGTTAATAACACATAACAGTGTGTGGTTAATTGCACCATGCATTTGTTACTATACTCATAATACAACATACAAGTTTCTTACTGCAGAATTTAGCCTGCAGAATATGACTCAATGATTATAGACGATTTAAAAACAGAATGTAGCCTTTTAGAAACCTTAAACTGAGTATTCACTGAGTCAGTCAGCACTACAGCTATGGAAGTGTTGAGTAATAGCACCACACAGTCAAAAGACAGGAGCCACATAAACAGATGGGAAAGTAGGAAGTGGAAACTGTGGGGAACTCCAGTTTCTGCCAACAGTCTGGCCATTCATTCAAGCCTGGATGAATGTACTGTACACTAACCCGTACTGTACATTACTCTCATCCAAAAAACAAACTCCAAACTCCTAACAGAGCTTATAATATTACATTAGCTTTCTTTGTGAAGATATGTGTAATTCATTCTTCACCCATTCATGAAAGGTTTTTCTGAAGAAAGGAGCATCACATATTTTAAGGAAACATAGAAAAACATATTGCTTTAGGAGAGGCATTCTGTAGTGATAAACACACCTGGGCGACCATTTTGGGTTTCAGTTGCCCCAAGCTCCTCCCCTGTTCCCTCTTAGGAGTTGCCACACATGAACAGATAACATACAATACAATTAGATACGTGCAAGTATGAGGTATGAATAAAGTTTTAAGCACAGCAGCGAGACAACATAATAGCAGGTTTATCAACAGTCCAGCTCTTGTTTGTAAAGCTCTTCCCTCTGCAAGGGGCAATAATATGGATCCAGTCCATAAAAAAGCCACATACACACATTTGCATTACATAAGCTGAGTGCCATACGGCTCAGTGGGAGCTACAGCACAAGGTCAGATCAATACCTCCACACACTGCCACTGGCCTGAAAGGTACGGCAGGAAGAGAGAAAGAGACAGAAACACAAAGACAGACAGAAGGAGAGACAGAGAGAGATGCACAACAACTATACTAATAGAAATGACTGATGATGATGAAGATAATAACTATGATGATGATGAAGATAATGATGATGATGATGATAAAGATGATGAAGTTATGAACGACGGCACTTGTTAATATAATTTAATCTAAAACAAAACAGTTTATCTTTAAATGTTTTTATTGTTGTTATAAATCTTCAGAATTATGACCTGAAATATTTTCTTTTCTTTTTCCATTCTGAAAATAAACAAATATACTACATATATTATATATTATATATATAATATACAAATTATATATTATTATAATACTGTTTTAAATATACAGTGTCCACAGAGGGACAAACATGTTCATCTGATTATAAACTACAGGTTGGATCTCAGAAATAAAATCTTACCGCCTAGCTGCTGATCCACAAATCCTCTGTTTGATTGACAGGTTCTCTGATTATTGATCAGTAATCAGCTCTGACTGTTAACTGATTATTGGTTGGAGGAGGATGAACTAAGCTCAGAGTCTGACTGTCTCTCGCTCGCCCATCTGTTACAAAGACCCTATTCACTCTGGGCGGGCAGCTCCTCCTCCTC